ATTTTTAATAGACCGTTGAAAAAAAAAACGGCACGTCTAATTCCATCTTCATTTTATCTTCAATATCATATCGTTTTGCATCGTTCTGCAATAGGTTAAAAACTTTTAATGGTTTTTGGCTGCTATGTTAGTACTTTTACAACATCCTTATGTTATGTATATTCTCATTATATAAAGCACTCTTATAACATGAACGTTTTAAAAAAGACTCATATGTAACGTGTTTCAACAAAATGGAAATGGGACCAAAAAAAAAAAAAAAGGTTGTAGGAAGCGAACCAAAGCTAATTCCAAGCCACCACCTTGGGCAAATCCTTGAATGGCAGCAACACAAGGCTTCTTACCATCTACAAAATTACAGCAGACTACTAAAATTAAACAACTTTTTAGTAGTCAGGGATTACTAAAAACTTCTGATGTTACCAGTCTGATGAACATCCCGAAAAACAAAAAGCGATGTCTAAACCACCGCAAAATTTACCATCTCCACCTGTACAAGTTTCAATAATTACTGTTAGGCTCTGTTTGGTTGGATTGAATTGGACCCAAGAATTGGAATTGGAGGCCCTCAATTCCAATTATTGTGTTTGGCTGAAAAAATAGAGGTTCCAGAATTAGAATTATAATTCAAGATGAGGTTCAATTCTTTATTTTCAATTCTTTTATGGGAGCAAATAATTGCAATTCGAACTCTAAGGGCTTTAGAAAAAACGCGGGTCATATACGGGTCGTTTTCCGGGTTATAACAAAACGGGTCCTTTTAAGTTTGAGTTTTTTTTTTTTTTTGTGTAGCGCTGCACATGCGTTTTTTTTTTGCCTTTTTCATTTTCGTTTTTTCCCCCTTTTTCTTTTAGCGTTGCGTTGGGCTTTTTTTTTTCTTTTTTTTTTTTCCTTTTTTTGCATTTTGTTAAATTAACATATGTTTTTATTTATGGTGCAAACGAGGTGTAAATCATATTAATAATTATTAATGAGATCTATATATTAAAATTAGTATTCTTTTAACAAAAACTATCAAATGTATAACGACACCTGTAATTTATTTTAAAAATGGATGGTATTAACTATTGGTTAACATTTTTTTATCAAATGTATTTTGAACTATACTTGAAATTTTTTTCACTAAAATTATGTAAGCTTTCAAGAAGTCGAAATATATATTATTCCATATGTAATTATATACTAAAAATAAAAAATAATTAATTAGCACCATGTATTAATGTTAATTTATACATAAATGAATGGTCTTTACTTTTAACTATGTAAAAATTTTACACTAAAATCCAAAAAAAAAAACTAAAGATTAAAAATTTATAAATAATAAAAAGGAGAGGAACAAGGATGTTCTACATGTTACTTGTGAGAATTCGATCATCACATTCATACTTACGTAATAATAAAAAAAGCTTTTCCACAAATATGTATGTATCTATAAATTATAAAATTGATATATATTACTCAAACAACAAAAGTTCTAATATAAATGTATATGATAAATTTATTTTTGTTATCTTATATATGTAAGTAATAAATTGTTTTGATATATAAAATTAAGTATTTATTTTATTCAATGAAATAAAATACTTAATTGTAGGTAGATAATAAAAAACTAATTCTAATTCTAGATTTTATAAATTTATAAGGATCCAAACACAAGAATTAGTATTAGAGCCTTAATTCTAGTCAATTCTTACGATCTTCCAAACGAAAGAATTAAGATTGAATTGCAATATTAATATCTCATTTTCAATTCAATAGTATTATAATTCTAATTCAATTACAATTCAATCTAACCAAACGGAGCCTTATTCTTAATTATTGAAGTAATTATGTATTTACGGTATAACTTTGTGTATAGGGTTTTACTCATGTCTATATATACTGTTGTATTTGTACATTACTGAATAATGAATCATACCCGATTATTCTAAGTTTTAATTTTGATTATATATAGAGAGAGCTTTTCAAAAAAGGAGGGAAAAAGAAAATTTTAGAGAGCTAGCCGGCACCAGCTTTGTTGGTTTCACCAAAAATTTCAAGCACAAGCTCGGCAATGGGAACTAACACAAAGTACTCCCTCCTACTCAAAAACAATTATCCACCTCCAATTTATTATACTTTCTTTGTTGCGAAAAAAATCATTTGCATGAGTTTTCATATTTGTATTAAGAATAGTATGATTCTCAAAATTTGGTGACTTATTTTATTTTATTTTATTTTATCTTTGAAACGAAAGGAGTACTATTTTAATACAAGAAGAATACTCATTTATTTGAGGTTTTTTCTTGTATAGCTCCAACCTTAAAGTTTAAGCCTTGGGGCAAAACATGGAACGCATCTGTCAAAATGATGGCTCTGATGTCATCTCTTCTTAGCGCTTCGCTGTATTTTTCATGCAATCCATTTACCATTGCAACCGGGGAAAATCACAATATCACATGAAGCCCAGTTAAGTTAACAACTCCTTACAAATACTACTCTCTCGGTCCCAAAAAAAATAGTTCACACTGAGTTTTCAAATTTATACTAAAAACAGTACAAAAATCGAAACTTAATGTGGTCTATTCTTTTAGGACGGAAGTAGTATTATTTTATTCTCTTCTTCGTCCAAAATAAAAGACATATATATTTTTATTATACCTAGTCCTGAGGTATATGCTGCTTCAAGTAAAATATATACATACGATATTGATAGTTTAGTTTTATACTACTTCCTTTAGCAACTAATTTAGAGTTTAATCTCAAAATGGATAAATAAATTTCAGATTCTATTTACATAACCTGTACTGAATATGATTAAAAAAAAAAAAAAGATAAATTATAAGAGCAAGCACACAAGAACGAACATTAATTGTCCCGTGTACTAAATACATATCTCAAATGGAAAAATATTGTAAGAGGTGATCACAGCAATTCCATTATCCCCTACTTCAAGCCTCACGACTTCCTTACAATTTGCCATCCCTCCTTCAAACTTCAAAAACTTCTCTTCAGATGCTTTTCTTTTTCCTCAAAGTTTTAGATTGTGAAATATTTTGGAAGAACAAATTTGGTTTTTGCTAGGAAAAGGGTTATATTAAAAGCGTGATATATATGCTAGCTACAACCTAGGCTTATAGGTAGCTAGGTACTATTGTTTTAGACTTTCTATTGTTATTTTGGCGTTAATGTGAGGAGTTACTGAACTGATGAACAATTATTTTTAGATTTTTATTCGAAAAAAGTGACGAATCGAGATTAGCATGGATGTTATATGTTTTGGCTTACACTTAATTCTGCCTTTTTAAATCAAAAAAACAAAAAAAATAAAAAGAAGAAGAAGAAGCGCAAAGGAGTTTTTTATTTCCATTCTTATTGTTATATATATTATCATTATCATTATCATCATACTCGTCATATTATATTATAATTACACAATGTTGTTGCAGTTTGGTAGTCCTTTAAGTATTAACTATTTCTTGAAGTGATTATCTATAACTACCTTTCATTAATAATTTACCAATTAGATGGGAATTATCATGAATTGAATCTAACAAGGGAAGCAAGAAAGATGGAGCAAGAAAATACTTAAATTCTTTTTTTTTAATATTTTTTTATAAAACATTATTTTATCAACTATTTCTTGAAGTAATTTTTGATTAGAAATCCTTTAATATTCGGACTTTTAGTCTTCTTTCATTAATAATTTCTCCTTTAATGTTTATTTTAAAGATTATAAATAAATTAAGATTCACTAATAAGTGAATTTAATCGGCCCATAAATCTCTTTAAGCCTTATGGCTTCTTTTCTTTGTTAAACTTTTTGTCCAAGAAAATGAAAAGTTGTAAATGTTATGATTGGTAATCTTTTAATATTCCAACCTTTGATTTCCTTTTATTAATAATTTTTACTTTTATTTTAATTAATAATTATAAACAAATTAATATTCATTATTAGTTAGATTTCATCGGTCAACAAAACGTTTCAGTTAATTTTATCTTTTTAAATTCTCATTGTCTTTTCATCTTCTTTTTTTGAATGTTAAGACTTTATTAATGATAATTTGAAATATTGTTTCATAACTCAAAAACATTACTAAGAGTTTTGATTCTTGATTTTGTTAGTATGTAATTCCCAACAATAAAAAGTTTGTCATATTTATCTTTTCTTTCTTTTAAGTTTCTACCTTTTATACTCAACGATCTCTCTTCATCTGGATCTCATTAGAGATTACTGCCTAATCATTATTTTTTAATCAGTGTCATATATTTTTCGTGAAATTTTCAGATATATTTTATTTTATTTTTTGAATTGTGATGTAAGCATTTGCTTGTGTCTTATTGTTTACTTTCAGATTGTGATATCGATATTTTATTGTGTTTTGTTGTTCGCTTTTTATGTCAGTTAACAATGATAATTTTTTCACAATATGATATGATATGCATACGCGCGAAACACATAAATTCCATCTAGTAGTACATAAATAAGAAAAATAAAATAACTGTGGGGAGGCATAATATGCTTTTTGAACCACGGGTATAGTACTTCATCGAAACATTTGGGATATGCTGATGCATCACAATACATGGTCCGGCTTGAGTAGGAGGGCAACATAAAATGTAGAATTCTTTAAATAAGTTCCAAAAAAAAGTACTCAATGTCACATAATTCAATCACTCCTTATAAATTATATAATTTGTTCTAATACATATATCAAGGTCACATATTTTCAATGTAAATAATTTTCATATTCTTATTTTATTTTTTATATTAATATTTTATTTTTTTAATGAAATTTGACTATTTTTATTGAATTTTTGAACTATAAAAATTAAAATAACTAAATCATAACCCGAAAAAAGTGAACCATTAGTCTAAGTTCGAAAATGATTGTGAATGGTATTTGTATTAACATAAATTATATAATTTATAAAGAGTAATTAGATTGTGTCACACTGAGTGTCACAAGAAAGTGGCACAGAGAATCCTCTGCCCCAAAAAAACTAGACAATTGTATAATTGCCTTAACAATCCGTCCCAAATGAGCTAACATCTTCACAAGCTGCCTCAAATAGCCAGAAAGGGAACATGCTCTTCCAGTTTCGAGAATCCTTATTGTCCAAATGATTGATTTTTTTGTTTATATTACAGGGTGTCCACCGTCAGTAACAGTGACTAATCTTTCTTGTTTATAATAAGCATCTCGATGGGTGAAAAAAATTGGTTAAAAAATTTAAAGTTGTTCCATGTTCATGACGAGGTTTGAATACTCGCCCTATGATTAAAAGTAAAGTATATATTATGGCCAATGGCATTACTATTCATCTAGTCTAGGAATATATATAGTTATAAAGCCCAACTGTTTCAATAATCAGTCAACTATTGAGGCCCAAACCAAACTTTAGCTTTTGCCCCACTACTAAAGGATTTACCACATATATAAACGGTTTTAGCAAGAAACTTGCAACATTCTTGAAGCTACCATCACTTATTTTATTTTTCCCCTTCTTTTTACTGGTCGGAATGTACCTGATTTGATTATGCAGCAGCGAAATTGAAAACCCCACCCCATGTGGAGGCTTTCAACGATCGTAATTCGAGCTTAAAATTCAAATAAGATGATACATAAATTCCAGATCTGATGAATGGCAGAAGTTGAGATCCATGGAAGCCTCTTATTTTCTTAGCTAGTTTTGCAAGGCCAAAAGCTTCGTCCACATAGAAGATCTGTTGATTTCTTCCCAAAGCACCAACAGTGACGTCCATAAACTATCTTCTTTTTCTACTTCCAAGTAATATGGCATCACTAGATACAGGAGGTTTTGAAGATGAGGCTCACAAGCAGATGATTTATTATTCGCTCAGGAAAATGAAGACAGGAAGACACCACAATCTGGACTTGGTCATACAACTTTAATTACACAAAGTGTCATATCCAACCTGCCAAGGCTTAATCTCTAGGCAATACACGTAGAGGAGGAACATGTTTTCAGGAAATGTTGATTTAACTTTCTAACGAATTCAATACAATTACACAGTATACCCTAACTAAAAGTGTTTACAACAATAGTTAGGCATTACCATTACAATCCATTTAACAACACTAAAGCAAAGGGCAAAACATCTGATCCAATCCCCTCTTCTTACTCCTGAAAAAGAATAAGGAAAAAAGATTCACCCCTTTTTTGGCATGGCTGCAAGCCTGGTGTACATTCTCGCCATTGACTGGTATCCTCTGATATCTCCAGATCGAAGGAGATTTCCTGAACCCCCAAAAAGAAAAGCACAATTTGTCAGCAGCACTCTACTGCTTTAAACAAATATACCAGCACTCAACATACTCCGTCACGACACATACAGAGAGAAATAAAGACTGAAATATACATCCACGTTTAAACCGTTAAAAATTGAGGCTGTACATCAATGATTATCTCATCTTTCGGCTTCATACGCAGTAGGAAAAGCTTAAGTAAACAATTGAAGCAACCAAGTGTCACGATCCACTACGTGACGATGCTTTGGCTATTGAATTTCTTTTAGCAAATGTTCAACGGATTTAAAATTATGCTGCCTAGTGAAAGCACAACAGTTGGTTATCTGTCTCTACCACCATCAATCACAATAAACAGAAGATGACAGCCTCCAATGTTGGACATGAATGAAATAGGAACTTTTCTCTCATTTACGGTGTGCTGATGATTATAAATAGCAACAACAGATATGCAAGAGCCTTTGTCCTTGTGCCATAAAGTTTAAACTCCTACCAGAACTATCTTTCAAATTACATCAACTCCAAGTTTGTAAAACCAAAACAGACTACTAGGTTGTCCAAAACTCAGACTCAGAAAAAAGCATCTTTAACCCTGCTAAAGAATCACAGCAACCAGTAATTTTGTTCTTCTAATTTAACTTCGGTACATCCGTAACAGCAAATAGTAAGCCTGTTCTCCACTACTTCATACATCAATTGTAAAAGCTTGGAGGACAAGGTTAGTAATGCGGCAATGTAACACATCCTGAATTTAGCATTTAAATGAACAACTCCAATTTTGACAAATCCTAAAAGGAACTTAATATTCACATTTCTCATATAAACATCCCAACAACATGAACAAAATGAATACAGGCCTGAAGAAAAAGAGACAGTAATTTATACTAAGGAGTAACTAAGCAGAGAAAAAGCATAAAGTGCACATTTTGGAGCTAGAGCTTTTAAGAATGACTTGAAGGCAAAGCTCGTAATCGAGAATCTGGAGGGATTAATTCTATTTCATGTAAAGTACTACAAGTTAACATCAAGAAGTTGAATACCTGAATCGCAATTCAGAGGGCTATCCGGCTCTGGATGAGCCATTAGAGCAATAATAGCCCTACAAACTGACTGCAGAGTCCAAGCTGGACTCCATGCATTTTTCAGGATATCAAGGCAAATCTCTCCCGTCTGAACAGTCGCAAAATGCAATAAGAGATAAAAGGTTGTCAGTGATTCAGTGTCAAAAGGTACATGCTCGAATGGGTAGCACATATAGCAACCCCATTCATATCTGTTGTGTCCATTTTTTTGAAAGAAAATGCAAGTAATGCCCAACTAATCTAAAATTATAAGTAAACTTTTGGCAGAGTTATAATAACCAGGGTCCTCAAAGTAGGTTTTTCTTGGAGTAAGGAGCAAAATATGCTGCTGCAATTCATAATCCTATATCACTAGCACAAGGTAAATCCAGTTTTAAATTAGGGCATTACATTACCAATCCTTTTCCCCATACTAAATCAAACAAACATTATTCCAGAAACAAATGCCCACTTGTTTACAGCTACTATTTTTAGCAAAATGAACATAAAAGATAATCCTCTACTCCCAGGCCATTACATTTATAACCTAAGAAAAAGCAGGCTGCAAGAAACCACAGATCTTTGTTCAATGACATTTATATACTCAGAGATCATCCATAAAGACAGGAGTAATAATAACCAAAGTTAACACAGAGCAAAAATTGGAGAACGACTCAAACCTTGAAATGTACATTTGGGTGAAATATTTTCGTCAAGAACCTCACTTGCGGAGGCTGCAAAGGATACTGCTCTGGTACTGAAAAGGCAAGCTGGAACACTCCACCCTCAAATGGAGTTTCTGAAGGCCCTTTTATCAGGGCATTCCATTTAAATATATTGGAATCGTCACAAACTAGTTGGATATCAGGATCAGCTGATTTCTCCCTCTGCACCTCTTTGTACTCCTTAAACAGTCTTGCTCTAGATTGCTATTCAAAGAGGAGAAAAAACCAATAAGAAAAAGTTTTAAAAGATCAAATCTTAGGTACCATGATTGTGTGTAATAAAAAATTCTTTTACAAAGAGTTATAAGCAAGGAATATGTTATACCCCATACAAGGATCCATAGCTCAATCAGCAGCATGTAAATTAGATAATCAAATACTTTTTACAACAAAGAGTGGAACCAGTCCAATGGATATACTAAAACCAACACATGAGATGATCAAACAATGTAACATTGGTGAATTTCAGACTTAAGAACTAAACAAATGATTGCAAAAGCAACTGAAGTTCAAATGAAGACGGCATTCAAACAAGGCCCAGTTGATGATTCAATAGCATTCTCAAGAATTTAGTAACTAATAACTTAGTCTGGAGCACCATTCATTTCCAATTCAAATCGTGAAATCCATGAGCAGCAGGATGTTGAGGTCCAAAATTAGAACAAATTCACTACGTCATAAAATTGAGAACGCGTACTTGGCACCATTTTTTCAACTCATTTTTCTTTTTGAAAATAGATATGAATGTGAAACAATTAGGTACGAGTTAAAAGGGATACTTGTGGCTACTAACCTGCATGCTTGGGGAAAGCAAGCAACAAAATGCAATCCAAAGAAGGCAGACCTGTAAAACAATACGATCAGAAATTGAAAATCTTCAAAGAAAGGGACGAATTACTAATGCGTTGGGCAATTAACATCTAAAACACTGTTCCCTAATTAATCATATGCAAGATGAATTATCAATAGTGATTAACTTATTATTCCCAAAACAAGAAGGGTGGGTGTTATTCAGTTGAAAGATACATATAGACAGCAGATCACCAGGATAACCCAATAGAATCAAATAACAGATTACTAGGGCACTCCAACAAATACAAACATTAGATTTTTATGTTGAACATAAGTTTCTCTCAAACTAGGTTAATAAGGTGAAAAAAAAGAGACCAAAATCATCACAAAAAAAAAGTACCGGAACCGGCAATCCACAAAGCAAAGAAACAACTTTTCTAAGAACCCACCTGGGTACGGGAATTTGGGCGAATAAAGGATGAATTAGCAAAAAGAACTGGGTTGGGCTTGAACCGAGCTTATTATCTCTGCATGAGAAAATTGAGGGATCGGGGGCCGTGGAAACAATATCGCCGGTGGCTAAGGTTGTCGCCGGAAAGTCGGATCAGACTGCGGAGAGAGATGGTTTCGGGTGGAAATTGGAATAGACTATAGAGAGAATGCGGATATGCCGGAGCTCATTGTAATAGAGATGTGACTAAAACGTCATTTTCCTATTTGCGGACCCCACCTGAGCTGAATCAGCTTTTTATGCCTATTGTTTTTCTTTTTCTCAAAAAATATATAATATATATAGGAAAAAGTCCTAATTTAGTTGATGTTACTTAATCAATTTAAAACCATAGAGTTTTCCTAAGGCAAAATCAATTTTTTAATACTGCCTGCAATAATTTTTACGCAAATTAGTTAGGCAAAAAAAAACAAACGTTATGTAATCTTCAAATTTGATTGGGAGTTATTGAATTTATTAACTTGACTGATCAAATGTTAATTAACTGCTTCCCGAGATTCGAACTTAGGACATTTTTATGGCCAAATGCTTGATTTTGTAACCAACGAGGATTGCAAAAATTCGCATGAAATATTTGGTTTGTAGTTATTTTTTTAACTTTTATTACTCCCTCCGTCCCATAATTATTGTCCACTTGCCTAAAAAATTTTGTCCCAAAATTATTGTCCAATTTGACTTTTTATGGATCAAGTTACACATTTGTCCTTGGTAAAAAACATTATCCATAAAATCTTTGTAGTTAAATAATTACTTATGTAAGGGTATATTCGGTTGTTCAAGGTAAAATATAGTTAAGTTTGACTAAAAATAAAATCTTTCATTTTAATAAAATTGGACAATAATTATGGAACGGGGGAGTATTATGTTGTTTATGTTCTTTGGTTTAGATAGAGATCTGTATTTATGTAAATTACCTAGGAAAGACTACCAAAAATGACAAAAAGAAGTGGGGGGTAGAGAAAATACCTTATACTGTAATGAATCTTATTTCTTCTTTCTTGAAGTTGTCTAAATTATTAGACTTTCATTTGTTTCCTTATTTTTCATTTTGCCAAAAAAAAAAAAAAATCATTTTCCACTTTTTCATTTGGCCAAAAGATTTGACAGTTTTGATATAAATTATCCCCTCTTTTTTAATTTATAACTCTTATTTGGTCAAAACAAAAACAAACCTCCTTTTTAGTTTAACTCTTGTTAGGTCAAAACAAAAACAAATTGCAAGATGTGGCACGTCCAGTTTCTAGCCAAAAGAAAGGTCATAGTTTCTAGGCACGTCCAGTTTCAGGAAACGGTGTTTCCTTATAAAATGTTTCAACAGACACTGTGAATCAACCAATTTTGCCTTATCCAACATTCCCTGATGATATACCGTAGAACTTTTATAAATTAATAGTGTTGCGATCATTAAATTTTATTAATTTAGTGAATTATTAAATAATCGATAAATTAATAAATTATTAATTTAAAGAATTTTTTCGTTAAAAACCCTACTATACTACGTAATTTTTCATCGTTTCTTACAATTCTAAACAAGTCGAGAATGTAACTCTTTTTCATAATAAACTCAAACATAATAATATGAATGCCAATCAGTTGGTAGATTATCCAAGTGAAAATGATGAATCTACAAAGGTCAAATCATTTGAGGATATTGTAACTATTGTCCGTAAAGATAATTCAACCGGGGATAAAGATTCACTGTCTTTGGCATTAGTCACACGAAAAGAAGTACTCAAATCATCAATAACTATTCAGAATTTCTTGTTGTAATTTGAGAATACAACACCAAAGCTCTCAAGGGCAATGAGACAAGGATGAAATTTTATTGGATTTAAATTTCAAGAAAAAACAAATATCAATAAGCTTATATTTTAATAAATCTTACTAGATATTAGTATTTTTTTGACATTTATGGTATTTATTAATTTACAGTATTGTTGGGACCTGTAGATATGTATGGTATTTTTTGAAACATTATTATCTTATTATTTTATCGATTTTTGTCACTTTTTGTTAGGACCAGAGAAAATTATTATTTGCTAAAAATTATTAATTTATCGATTATTAATTTACCGCCGTTCTATTGTATATACCTTTCTCATCTATTGCTCCTCATATGGTGGATCACAATGAATCTTTACCATCTTTCTCATCACAGCCTCGTTAGTCTCTTTCAAATACACCTATTTCACAATCACATTCACCAACTGCATTTGAATGTTCTATTTCACAGTTTTCAGAGTCTTCTGTTGCTCCTTCACCTCTTTCTGAACCTCGTGGAAGTAGTAGAAATTGATAAATATCGACTTGGTTTACTTATTTTGATCTCACTGATAGTCAAGTTAGATATCCATTGATTTCAGCCAATGTAATATCTAGTGAGTTTTGCTCCTTATCTGCTATTAGTGAGCCACAAACTTTTAATCAAGCCAGAAATAATCATCATTGTAATATTGCCATGAATCAAGAGTTAACAGCCTAGAAAGATAATGGTACTTGGTCTTTAACTTCTTTGCCACTGAGAAAAAGGGCGATTGATTATAAATCATCAGTTTACAAGATAAAATGTATACCTGATGGGACTATTGATCGTTATAAGCTAGACTTGTTGTGAAGGGGTATAACCAAATTGAAGGTAAAGATTTTTTTGAGTCTTTTTCTCCTGTTGCCAAAACTGTTAAAGTTAGGGTTTTGCTTGTCTTTACTGTTAGTCATGCCTGGAATGTACATCAATTGGATGTTAATAATGCGTTATTTGATGAGTCTAATATTTACATTTATTTTTATATAATTTTTCTTGAGATTTTGTGTTGTTTTTATGTGCTTTAAAGATAATTTAACTTAATAATTCTTTATTGAGTGAATCTCAAAAAGGGTCATTGAACTATTAGGTAATTCTAATACAGGTTATCAATCAGATTTATTTATATAAGAGGTCAACTTACTAAGCAAAAAATTCATCCGAAATCATTATGTTAATTTTGACCATTAAATAGTAGCGAAAATTCATTTTTCACATACTTTTGGGATCGTGGGTATTTTTGTCATTTTTTTATTTTAAAATTTTTTTAAAAAATTATTTTTTTATTTTATTTTTTACAATTCTTCTTCTTATACTTCCTAACTTGTATATGCTGGTAGTATTATTTCTAAATTTTAAAGATTAATTTAAATTTTAACTTCTAGATTATAAATTATTTTAAAAAAAATTAGAAAAATAAAGAAGAAGAATTCGAATTGAAATAAACATAAAAATTAATAGTTTATCATTTTAAACCAAAAAAAGAAACTAAAATAATTAGCTAAGACAAGTTGTTTCTTCCAAATTATTTAATTTTTTTAACTCGATTTAATCATTTAATTATTAATTTTCACGTTTACTTCAATTTGAATTTCTCTTCTTTATTTTTTTATAAACTAGAATTTAAAATACAAATGAAAAATTAATTTTTGAAATTTAATAATGATACTAGTACTAACATATACAAGTTAGAAAGCAAAAGAAGAAGAATCGCATAAAAAATTAATTAAAAGATTAATATTTAAATATATATGTATATATATATAAATTGATGAAATTGTCCCTTTATCAAAAAACTGGTGAAAAATAACTTTTTGTCATGATTTAACTCCTAGAATAATCTAGGGGAAATAACTTCTCTTAACTGAAAACTCTTTTGAATGTTAAATCGTAACGGAAAACTATTTTTCACATGTTTTAAGGTCCACGAGTAGTTTTATAATTCTGTATTTTTCTTTAAATATATTAATATTTTAATTTTTTAAAACAATTTTTCTTCTTTAATACTTCCTAACTTGCACATGTTGGTATTATAATAATTATTAAATTTCAAAAATTAATTTTTCATGTGTATTTTAACTTCTATTTTATAAAAACATAAAGAAGAAAAATTCAAATTGAAGTAAACGTGAAAATTAAAAATTAAATGATTAAATCGAGTTAAAAATAATTAAATAATCTAGAAGAAACAACTTATCTTAGCTGATTTTTTAGTTTATTTTTTGGTTTAAAATGATAAACTATTAATTTTTATGTTTATTTCAACTCGAATTCTTCTTTTTCATTTTTCAAATTTTTTTTAAAAAAATTTATAATCTAGAAGTTAAAATACAAAATTTAAATTAATTTTTAAAATTTAGAAATTATACTCCTATACAAGTTAGGAAGTATAAGAAGAAGAATTGAAAAAAAATAAAAATTAAAAAAAATATTTTTTTCAAAAAAATAAAAATGTAAAAATAACAAAATGACAAAAATACCCCTGAACCCAAAAACATGTGAAAAATGAATTTCCATCACTATTTAACGGCCAAAATTAACAGAATGATCTCGGATGAATTTTTTACTTAATAAGGTGACCTATTCTACAAATAAATTTGATTGATTACATGTATTAGAATTACCTAATAGTTCAATGACCCGTTTTGAGGTTCACTCTATTAAAATTTAAAAATAAATAAATAAATACAATTACTACTAACATAAACTACTAGAAAGAATTAAAGGAAGCCGCAATTATTTACCCTACGTGAGAGGAGCAGTTATATATATTGTGTATCAACTCTTCCCGACTATCTGAAAAAAATAAATAAATAAATCTCTACCATACATGGAATGGAACACCGCACTGTAAAGTATGAACTGATCTATCTTCCTGTTATTACAAGAGCCAATTTTGGAAGGGGCGAGGGGGTGGGTGGAGAACAAAAGAAAAGGTGATAATGTGAAAATTTAAAAGAATGCTCAACATTGTTAAAGGATTTGTACCAAAATAAAGCAATAATCGATATTATATTCACCCTTGATAAAGATCAAAAGAAGTTTCCATTTCTTTCTTTGTTCTCTCTACAATCAATGTACAAAAATCATATAGGCAAAAGCTAGTAAGCATATAGAACAAAATGTAATATGTATCTGTAACGATAAAATCTAAAGAAGAACAAAGAAATTAAAAGAAAAGAAAAATGGATTGACGAAAAAGTTAGCAAACTGAATGATGAAATATGTAAAAACCAACCCCAAATCACATGCTACCAGCCCTTCCAGAAGCGGTTTTTGATGGCTTGAATTTGTTCAAGTCCACTAGATCTCCAAATAACTTGTCTTCTGGCTTTGACGGCTTTCCAGATGGCACGTGCACATATGATGGGTTGGACCCTGGTCGGGCTGAACCGGCCAAGATAGTACTGTCATCCCTCACAGACAGCCCAGACATTCTTTGATCAAGAAACTGCGCATTTTGTTGTTGCCCATAACCATAGCCATAACCACCCATTTGGTTGCCATATGCTTGTTGAGGATACATATAAGCCACCTGGCCAGAATGCATCGGTTGGGGATACATACCCATTGATTGCCCCCCTAGCATCTGTTGCTGTAGCTGTTGCTGTTGCATTTGTAGATATTGATTGGGTTGCATGCCAACAAACTGCTGGGGCTGTTGCATAGCCAGCTGGTTCATAGCTGGAAGCTGGACACCATTGACAGGCTGAATATAAATACCACCAACCTGATCATTCACCCCAATGCCACTAGATAATGGTTGAGAATGGGTTATAACCACCTGTGTGACTTGTTGAGGAACACTAGCAAACTGGTTGCTATCTGTTGCCTGAGCCTCCCATGGAGGAGGAGGAAATGAAGCACCAGGTTGATCACCTGTCCAACATTTATAGTGTACAAACATGACTTCATAAATTGATAACATTATTAAATAGGTTTGGTAGTCTGCTCTTATTAAAGGCCACTCCTATTACAAAAAAGCAGTTCAAAGAATCAAATCTTCATCTTGAAAATTTCTTATATAGCAGTCATTAACAGCTAACCCCGAGAAACCAAGCATCAGACTGGATCAGGCTCACTTCTACAATGTGTTTTGCAGCAAACTATGCCCATATTAAAATCCAGTAAATAGTAAAAAGTGAACGCATCCTATCATTTGCTATGAATTTCTAGACATTAAGGATCAATAAACCAAAACACCTGATGGCAAACATAAGAGGAAGACGTAAAGAACCATTTGAGCCAACAAAAGAAATCAACTTAACTCGGTTTGTGTGAAGTAGATGGGTAGGAGAAAATTAACTGGGAAGGATGGAGTAGAAGAATGTACCATAAACTGGTGAAGTAGGCTGCTGTGCAGGCTGAGCTATTGGACTATTCCAAGCAGAGTTTGGCCCTTGAGTATATACAGACTGTTGATATTGGGATACAACACCACCAGGAACATTTCCATTTGCGTAGATCGATTGTTGAGTAATTTGGAGATTCGGTTGCTGCTGAAATTGAGGGGAGGTGGGATATGTTTGTCCAGCAGGTGTTGCATGACCATTATTACTTTGTGTGAACATATCAACAAGAGCCAGGGCATTTTGTTGAGAAGCAACAGGGCTTGCAGGCTGAGGTTCACCTACAGTTACAGGAACAAGTGCCATCGAGTTCTCAGCAGGCGAGCCAAAATCATCTCCACTCAAAAGATCGAATTTCGGACTAGCCTTGGTTGGGGTTGATGATGGACCGTTAGCAGTTGGAGGGGCAGGTAGGGCTAACTGGGTCAATCCATCAGCATTGGATGAACTGCAAAAGAAATCACACACACTAAATCCCATAAGCAAACAAACAATCAAATTTAGCTCTTCTCAGAAGATATCGCAATAAACTTGATCAAAAATTCATCATCTAGCACCAGAGGAGCTGCATTTTCTTTGCTTTTAATACCCAAACACGAACACGAGTAAAAGAAAATTGTCAGGGCGTGTCAAGTGTCAACGAATTCAGTCTGTAAAATAAGTTGATGAACCGATATACCAAGTTCAAATAAGATTATATCACGGATGGTAAGTACAGAACAAGCTCAAACCACTGATCTAAATACAGCTAGAATTCTGCAACCCCACCCCCCAAAAAAAAAAAGAAAAACCGAAAAAAAAACCCTGAAAAAAATAAGGCGAGGATGTAGATGTGTAAACACTTTCACAAGTTCATGCACACCTGAACTAATGATGTAACAAACAAGAATGAACAAAAGAGTACCTTTGCTCTGGCTGCTTTGTATCCCCAGTATCAATTAGTGGAGAATCATTATTGATAATTTTACCAGGTTCAGACTTAGGTTTCTCTATTTGAACAGATTTTCCCGATGCAATTGCTTCATGCTTGGCCAGCACACGTTGCAAGTCATCATTCAGGGCTAATCCTTGACATAATAATGATTCATCTCTGCAGCAGGAAAACAAATACATTACAGCTTCTGTTTAAGAGGTTTATAGTGTGTTTTCCTCTTACTGGAAATGCAAAAAGGGTGTCTTGGTTGTAAGAACATGTGTCAAAGACTGAAAAACGAGAGAGAGAGAGAGAGAGAGAGAGAATACTGAAAAATTAGTAAGGGGATAAAATACAAACAAAAGTAAAGTTACTACTTACGCAGTTGAGTTAACAAGATGTACGACTCTTTGCTTGTATGTACGGCATTGATCGACCAAATCAACAATAACCTCCTGTCGAAGCCCCTATCATCCATCGAAATAGTAGTATTAACTAACACGCCAAATATCAATATCGTGTCAGACGACAGAGAGCCATGAATAAGAACAGGAACAAAGACATGAACCAAGTGCAAATTAAAAGAACAGAGTCCACCTTCTATTTACCTCTTTGTTTTCTGGATCTAAAGCATTCAGCATCTCTGCAAGGACATCCATTATGCCACGAGCATTTTGAATTTCGGTCAGACTAAACAAGAAGATAAAAGTGGTCAGAACTTATTCCTCAGGAAAAAGGGAACAAAAAAGGAAAGAAAGAAAACAGACTAACATCTATGATATCTGTGTGCAGGTGAGGAAGGTATATTAGATCTAATAGAATCACAGGTTTCAAATATTACAACTTTGCTGAGCAAGAAGATTTTATTCTTATGATAACCAAAAATCCCAGGCAAGGAAGGAACGATGAATTTAAGGGCTCATAAAAGCAATCCGGGAGGGGGAAAAACTTAATAATCACAATAATTGCAGATCACAAGGCTAGATGTTAAAAAGAGGAGAACTAGCAACCAAGATTCACATATCATGAAATCCAGCACCAAAAACAGAAATAATTAGCTAAACTAATAATGTATCCTTGAAGAGAAAATGAAATTTAAATATGCACCTTAAAGTAGGATATTCAGCCTCAGTTGAAGACTCAGCAGCTTCCTGCCTAGCCTCTGCGTTTCGGAGATTTTGGGGAATAGATGACAGGGGCTGTGTTTGAGGGGGTGTGAACACAGGTGCTGATCTTTCAGATCTCTGAGGGAAAACAGCTCCAAGTCGCTGAAAGTTCAGATAAAAACAGAAAAACTCACATAAATTGCTAGAGAGATAAGAATCCGGAAGATAATGGTGCAACTACCCAAAAAAGAAAAAGACCCTGAACAGCTTACCAATAATTCCTGATATGCTGCAAAATATTGCGGATACCTTGCCCTTGGTCCTCCAAAGGCTTCTTGCCATGTATCAATGAGAATTAATATTTTCTCCTTGACATGAAAGTCAGGCTACAGATGTAAAATAGAATGTCATCTTGCAGCTTCGACCAGAAAAAAGAAGAAAAAGAAAAAAAGAAAAAAACATAGATCATATGTAAGTATTACCTTCTTTTTAACAATCTTCACCATCTCGTGAAGCAGATCTTTCTCAGCAACATGCATATGGACAATATCACCACAGTTCTTGACAATTGTCTCTAGAAGCTAAAATATGACAGAATTCAATCAAATAAGACTACAGTTAGTTGTAGACCCAGTTCAAGAAGAATGACTATTTCTCTGTTTGCAAATAAATACTGCCCAACAATCTAACAGAGTATACCAAATATCATCCATCCTATTAAACAAAAAGTTTCAACCTGAAAAACTGAAAGAATAAAAACCAATAAATCAATAAACTTTGATTTCGATTGACAAATTTCTCCAGTTCCCTCAAAAGCTAAGCACAAACGTAATTGCAATCTTGAAAAACATAACAAAAGTAAACCATGTTTGATTGCACTTCCAGATAGTTCAATCTTGGTCCAGCATTTAATCAAACGTCCCTAAACAAAATCACAACTTAAACCCACAAGAACTATAATTATTAATACTCGTGAATAAGTAGTTCTCCAACAAAATAGAGACATACTATACCCTGCGACTTAAGGTCAATTCTAGTTCTGTCCAAACTTATGTCACATTATTGCTAACAGGTGTTTGCAAGTCATTTTAGTAACTTTTATCATATCAAAACCCTGAAAGTCAAATGCATCAACTTCCTCCTACCAATGGCATTCCATTTATTCACAACTCATAGAAAGGTCTTAAAGTCAAGAATAGGTCCCAATAAATCAATAATCTTTTATTTTCGATTGACAAATTTCTCCAGTTCCCTCAAAAGCTAAGCACAAACAAAATTGCAATCTTGACAAAAATAAGAAAAGTAGACCATGTTTGATTTCACTTCCAGATAGTTCAATCTTGGTCCAGCATTCATCAAACATCCCCTAAACAAAATCACAACTTAGACCCACAAGAACTATAATACTCATGAAGAAGTAGTTCTCCAACAAAATAGTAACATACTACACCCTCCGACTTACGGTTAATTCTAGTTCTGTCTAAACTTATGTCGCATTATTGCCACCCAGTGTTTGCAAGTCATTTTAGTAACTTTTATCATATCAAAAACCTGACAAGCAAGCGCATCAACTTCCTCTTACCAATGGCATTCCACTTATTCACAACTCATAGAAAGGTCTTAAAATCAAGGAGAACAGGTCCCAATATAATCCACTAAGTTTAGTGGATGCACCCATAATGGAGGTAAATAACCTTACCCCCAAAAAGAAAAACAAACCAGAAGAATATATGGAAAATTAGCAGACAAAACAAGATGTCCCAGCGTCCAAAATCAGTAGCAATAGAAAGCTGATAAAGGGATGTGACTTTGGAACGAAACATAAATGGAAACTTGCAAATAGGAAACAATACGGAAGTAACCAACAGAGTTTCTAACACTCACCGTTAAGGCAAGGAGCTGGACTTTTGGATTCTTACTACCGAGGCGCTTTTTAAGGCCTTTCACAACATCCTTTGCTTGCCTGGTAAATTAATAATAAATCAATAAAAGACCTACAATGAATCATTACAAGCAAAAACTATGCATACAAAATATAACATTACGAGACATTCTACATCAATGGCCACAAAAGAACCAAAATAACTCCCATCGGAAGAAATACAAATCAGACAACACTACAAGACGGAATAAAAAAAACCTATATAATTTAACATCACAAGTACAGGTACTCTATGCAAATGTCCTATATATAAAATAAAATATGCCATTTTCAAAGCAATTCAGGCACCCTATAAACTGTGGCAGGAAGAAGAATATTATTGCAGCTAAGCAGAAACCCCAAAAGAGACAAATTCTGTAGAGTTGAGAGTGGATAAGAGATGAGTATACCCATATTCTCACTCCCGGAAGAAAAGTAAGTTAAGAAAATAGAAAATTCGGTTGCACATTAGAACAAAGTCAGCTATCAAGTAGACTGATTCTCTGACAAGTAGAAGAAAGAGTAACAAGCAGAGCTGCAGAATGCTTAAGTTATGGGTGAGATATTATTCCCTAAGATAAAATCAGCAAAACAAATCGGCAAGAAAGGCTCTGTGTTAACAACAAATATAAAATATCTTACATGTGAGTCTAAAATAAAAAGAAAAATAACGGTTAAAACCCAACAAGAAAAACTAATGTTAAGCATTTAGTGGAGACACTGGTACTTCAAATGATAATATGAGTCCAAGTACAGATCAAGGTGGATGAAGGTCCATGTTGAACATCAATTCTGTCTGTGTGTTTAACATCAAGGTATATAGGTATAAATACATAGTTACTTTGTTTTAACAATTCGAATCCTAACCATCACAATAGTTATCAGCAAACAAACTTCAAATATCTAAAGCAATTGGCAGTTAGAAAACCACGTCCACGCCAACTTGCAATCCACATTTCAGAAGTACTCCATCAGTGATCATTTAGAAACTTCAAAATTCCAAGTTCTAGACCCGTCTATTTCCTGACAAGTTTAAATTCTAAATCTGCAACTGTTTCTACTTTCTTCTTCAAACGAATTTATGATTATAATGAAGCAGTTAGAAAGCTTATGTTTCCAGTCAAAGAAACTTGTGCCAAGATATACCTTCAGTCTGAACACTTCCTCAATTGCCTAAAGTTTTTCCCATCACGAAAGAAACAAAAATCAAAGACAAAAGCAACATTACCAATACAAATTGATGAAAAGTATAAAGAGAATAACACAGAAAGCACAAACACAGAGAAATTCTCACACTATCAGATAACAAACAGTAAATGCCCCCACCCATACGTGGCACAGGTATAGATACAAGAAAGAAGCTTACGCAGGATCATGATTGCACATATCGCAGATCTCAATATTCATAGCCCAATCCGGACCGATGAGCATGTCGCTCGTAGCTCGTTCCACCATCGCATTCACCATCTTCTCTTCTTTTCTTTGTCTGTCTCCTCCTTCTTTGATTATTATCGTAATTTATGTAACCCTAACCCTATTCTCCTAACGCAAATCAATCGGAATCTCGCCACCGGTCAAACTTCCGGCAGGATTGAGAAGCCAGGTGAAAGTAACCCAAAAAAAAAAAAAATCAAACTTTCATCATTCCTTTAATAATTTCAATTTCACAAAATATAAAATAAATAAATAAAATATGTAATCGATCCTTCCAAAGTCGTCAAAATCCAACGAATTCTTTGCCCTTCTCTCTCTTCTTTCTCTTTCTATTTTTTATTATTATTTAATAAATCAATAATTGTCAATTTTTGTATGAACGAATCAACGAATCGCGGGTTTTTGCTTTTTCTGTTAGGATTTTAAGCAGGAAAAAAGAATTTGGAATTTCTTTTCTTTTTGCGACTCCAATTTCTTAGAAAGAAAATAGAAATTCCCAGGGAATATTAGAAAAATAAGTACCCAATGAAATCCTAACACGCGTCGTAATAGCTACGTCATCAGCTCTTCTTAGTTGGATAGTTTAACAATAAAACTTTCATTGATGGTGTCAGCTCGGCCGACTTTTTTAATCCAACGGCTCATGATGGGCTTTAGTGGCCCACGTGCGCATCGCAGATAACGGGAGGCCTTGCTTTTTTTCGTTTTCTTTTTTAAAATGTTTTTATATAATAAAACCAACCTTTCCTCTTTTTTTCCCCGCAAAAAGTAAGCTGTACATATTTATCTTATTGATTTTGCGCCTAACACAAATAATTATTGTGACAAACCCAACGAAACTGATTAATATTTCTTCGGTCCCAAATAAGGATTTTCGTTTGAATGTGTGAACTTATGACAACATAAGCTCTCAACATTGTTTGTTTCGTTTTTTTTAATGCGTGTTTTTAGGTGTTTTTTGTATTGGAAATGTAAAAAAGTATGTTAGAAATATAAAAAGATATGTTGAAATGGGACAATTATTTAATAAAATAAACTGAAAAAAACATAAAAAAAAATCATACAAACAGATCCAAGTTTCAAACTGATAGTAAGCATATCTTTAAATAGCATTAATCGATTTATACTTTATAAATTGTTTATAACATCACTACCATCTCTGAAAAAAAGAAAAGAAAAATAAATCAAGTTAAGATATTGTTCTAGTATTCATCAACTGAATGTTAAAAACATGAATATTTCAATCAAAGGAAAAAGAAAAACACCATTCCGTCCATCTCATTTTGATAGTTCATTTTGTTCTAGAAATAAAATTGGAGTAGAAATGTTTCAATGATCAATGCCAGTCCTGCAATAGCACAGTTCTAAACATAGAAAGTACAGAAAGCTTGACTAGGGCATATCTTACAGACTACAAGAAAGCTGAAGCTCCACTAGTTAAAAGCTTGGAATTATAGGTAGCAAGAACAAAATAAGCTTGCAAACTTTGCTGAAACAGAACTGCGTGTTTATCACATTAGTATGGAACAGGAACTCGAACTGAAGCAGGTCCTGATTTCATATCATCCAGAATGAGGTTCCGTAAAGCCTGAGCCACTGGACCTTCTTTGCCTACAACAATATACCAGCAGTTGTATTTACAAAATACGTGAGCTCGGTATTGCTTCAGAGTAGAAGACATAGCATCACACACAAACCAGCATTTCCCGGCAAAAATTTTGGTTAGTCGGATGCAGAATCACAAGACAAGCGTAAAAATATAACCTGATCAAAGCATGAAATACTTACCATCCCCAATTTGCTGTTCATCCCATTCCACTACAGAACGAACTAGAACTCCACTCCCAATCAGCATCATTTCTTCTGCTGCTTTTCCTTCCTCAATAGTTACTTTATCTACTCTTATTCCAGTAAGCATTCCATTCACAACCAAACTTTCTGCCAGTGCTAGAACCCTCTTAACTGTGCATCCACTGAGAATTTTGTCAAATTCAGGTGTCAGTAGTTCCTTTTCTTTTGTCACAAAGGCCACATTCATGTTAGGTCCTTCAGCTACAAAGCCATCAAAATCAAGCCATATTGATGCATATGCACCCTTCTCCTCAGCTTCCATCTTCGAAAGAGCATTAGGTAGATAGTTCACACTCTTCATGACAGCAAACTGAGGAGGTTTAATCGGAAGTGATGAGGTTACCACTTTGATACCACTGTAATCTGGTGGCGATTGATTTTGGATTACAATGGCATACAGAGCAGATTGATGGCAACCTGATGGAGATAGCTGAAAATCACCTGGTCCTGCTGAAAGCCAGTATCTCAGGGAACCTTTTCTGCACTTTGAAGCGCTGACAGTTTGTATGAGTATCTTGCGTATAGTTTCCCTCTCAAAGGGAGGTTTAATTTTGGCCATGGTTGCTGATTTCAAGAATCTATCAAGATGCTGATCCAATTCGTACAGATATCTGGTTATGTGAAGAAAATCAAAATGTCACCTGAGATTCAGTAAGGTTTACTATAGTTTCCCCACGTTCTTAAAAAAAAAAATAAATAACCTGCACATCTCCTCAAAACACAATCCCAACGGCTACTAGTATGCTCGCAAAGCAGACTTCAGTTTGATAAACTATACGTGAGATTTGAAAACACATAAAGACACTTAGTACAGATTTGGGATTGAAGCTATACCAGATGACAAACGAAGGGCAAAACAGGCTACTCACAACAGAAAGAATGTTTTCCACCAGAGAAAGGGACAGAGATTAGCGGCAAAGCAAAGGACATACAGTTTTTGTAACAAAATTCAGGTTATTTAAGTTGCATATGATATCACATAAGAATTCGGCATGTTAATAAGTGATTGCAAGAAGGAAGCTCCAAAGACACCAAACGCAAATCTAAGTGAATCCAGGAAATTCAAAGACTAGTGAGAATCCCTAACCCGTCCATGATTGCAGCAGTGTCAAAAACTCCATGCCCTCTATGTACCATGTGATCATCCATTGGGATTAGCATAGCAGATGGATCAGTTGTAATTCCACCGAACACACTAGAGTACATAGATAAAAACTGCTCCTTGCTTTTGTAAGTTTCTCGATTTTTACTTAACCTTTCAATTGCCTTCACATACACCACAGTAAAACTTTGTCATGCAACAACTACCAACATGATGGTCCTCAACTATTCACTGCAATAGGTGTAATTTTTATTATTTTTTTTTAATTTTGCTCTTTGTAGATGTAAGTATTAGCCAAAAGAATCACTGATATAAAAGCTTCAATTCCATCATATTTTTTCTGGATAGTTGCAACTTGCAACAATTTCCACTCAACTTAGCAAATAAGCTGCGGAAAACACTGTTTCACCTTGAAGCTATGCTCCTCTAATTAGATACACCAATTTCAATGAATGAGTTTACAAGGAAAAACTTCAACTATATGCATTGTAGATGGAGAATGCATCATTGACTTTGGTTCAGATGCAAAACCAGTTCTTCATTTTTTTTTATTTTTATTTTTTTTGGTCAACAGACACAAAGTTTTAACCCAATTCAAATATACAGTGAGACTACCACTCCAGCCAATGCAAAAGGAGAGACACATGTTCAGAGAATTATGGTTAATGAGGATTTGGATTACCAACCTCTGAGCAAGAAAGAATAGGAACTTCATATGGAATTCCCGAATTCGTCTCTGCAGTTTAAGGAACAATATCAATGAGATTTCATTCTATTATTGAAAATTTGAAAGGAAACCAAAGTACTGCATCCCAAATACGGGAATTCAGAATTCTTTAGACCAGTTAGCAGATGCCAAAACCAGCTCACACAAACTAAATCACGAAGAAATAGCTGATGATCAATCATTCTGAGTACTAGACTAAAATGTAACTGAACTTACTGGTAGAAGCCTCGGTTTTATATGAGTTCTTGAAATAAAGTGACGATTTTGACCGCATTTTGACAATCCCAGGCTGAAAATACCAGAGCCCATGTGTTGTATCTGATGGGGCATTCACAAAACCAAGTGAATTAGTCGACTGATCGCTCAAACGTTGTGAAATTAGTGAGAATTCTGATAAGGGTCTTGTCAGGGATGAGAAAGAAGCCATTTTTCCAAGCTGAAATTGACCAGAGTATCAGACTTCAGAGTTTAGTTTTTCTCCGGGGGACTTCAATTGAATAGTGAATTCGATGACACTAACATATTTAAAATCAGAAACTCAGTAGTGGGTTGGATTGCCGCTGCTGGATTCGATTTTTTCTTTTAGTATTATTGAGCAATTGTTTAGAAGCCGGCTGAAAGGGAAGTGCCTTGGCAGTTCGCTTAAACAAATTTATTCATAGTGGACAGCGAAGTTCAAAAGATGGTAAATCAGAAACAAATTTATTTATACGCGGAAGTAATGCGTAGGGTTTACTCAAGAACAGGAAAGGAAAAAATTATATCTCGATTAATTTAGAATGATAAAAGTTAATTACAACTAGATGTTTGGCCCAGGCAGATGCCTGGGCGCCCCTCTACTTTAAATTTGTGTTAATAGATAAATAAATTTTTGATTTGGAAAAAATAAAATAGCTACACATTTGGTTTTTTTTTTTCTTTTTTTAGCCAAAAATAAAAATAAAAATAAAAAATCATCTGTCAAAGGAAAAAAAATATTGAAAAATATAACAATGCAGAAACCATACAAAAGAATGTGAAGTAATAAAGGGGATAAATTTATGGACAAATTTAAATACTATTTTAATTTGATTGATAAATGATAAATGTTAGGAATTAAAATTGTCTAGCTATTTTTGTAAAGTAACTTTTGTTTCTTCGGATAAGATTTTTTTTCTTTTAAAAAGGGGATGACACGTGGCAGAATGATCAATGCAATAAAGTGCATTTGGAGCCAAAAAATTTTAATAAAAAGTTGACACATCAACATCCTGTATTCTACTTTAATAGGGTAAAAGGGATGACTAACTGTACAGTGTTTATATTAGTTATCTAATCTAAATATCTACACATCATTTATAAGTATACCCTTAACTAATATCTACACAAGTTCTGTACACAAGGACTAAAGAATAAATCCATCTAACAAATCATCTAAAACTTCAATGCAAGTATCAGCACGCACAACTGCTATATCAGGATGTACAATAGCTATATCAAAATGCACAATTACATGTCTAGTTTATCATAATTCTTCATTCCCCCCTCAAGCTGGGTATTGTGGAGATCACAAAGTCCAAGTTTGGATAACAACACATGAAAACGAGCAGTGGGAAGAGTCTTGGTGAACAAATCAGCAGGTTGATCGTGGGAAGAAATGTGGTAAGGATCAATGAACCCTGCTTTATATTGATTTCTTACAATGTGACAGTCAATTTCCAAGTGTTTCGTTCTTTCGTGAAACATTGGACTAGCTGTGATATACAAAGCAGATTTGTTGTCGCATGCAAAGGGAATTAAAAGAGACAGAGGTACCTTGAAATCCTTTAGAATGTACAAGATCTAAAGAAGTTCGCAAACAGTAGCTCACATACTCCAGTATTCAGCTTCACAACAGGATTTAGAAGTGGTAGACTGCTTTTTAGTTTTTCATGAAATAAGTGAATTTTTCAAAAAAAACACAGTACCGAGTCAGAGAAAAACGAGTAACAGTGCAATTTCCCCAATCAAAGTCACAGAAGGATTGAACTTGAAGATCACTGTTACTGTGATAAAACAACCCCAAAGAAGGACAACCCTTCAGGTACCGTAAAACATGCAGACCTGCAGTCCAGTGAACCTCCCGAAGGTTTTGGAAAGACTAGCTAGCTGCTGAGTGGCATATGAGATATCAGGTCTCGTAAAACCGTGATATAAAAGCCGATCAACAAGGCGTCGCTACGCACTCGGATCAGAGAGTAAAGGACTCTTATCATCATCTAAATCAAGCCCCTTAGGCAATGGAGTAGATACAGTTTTACAACTAAGAAGACCAACACTCTGTATCAAATCCAGAATGTATTTCCTTTGATTCAAAGAGATACCAGCTTCAGAGCGTGCAATCTCGACTCCAAAGAAATACTTAGCATGCTGCATATCTTTTATAGTAAAGGCATCATCAAGAAAATTTTTGGTGTCACAGATAAGTTGTTCAGAAGAACCAGTTAACAATACATCATCAACGTAAACTAGAAAAATCAAGAAATCACTGTCCACAGATTTAAAGAACAAACAGTGATCATGGCCAGACTGAGTAAAACCAAAAGATTCCAACCTTTGAGTGAATTCAAGGTTCCATTGACGGAAAGCCTGTTTTAAACCATAAAGAGATCGTTTGAGCTTTCATACTTATGTAGGAAGAGCCTTGAAGTACCCTGGGGGAGGCCTCATATATATAGTTTCATCTAAATACCCGTGAACAAATGCATTATTAATGTCTAATTGGTGAAGAGGCCAATCACGAGAAACTGCTAAGACAATAACTATTCAGACAGTTACCAACTTTGCTACAGGAGAAAAAGACTCGAAATAGTCATCGCCTTCCACTTGATTGTACCCCTTTGCTACGAGTCTCGCCTTATATTTGTCTAATGTCCCATCAGGATGATATTTGACCTTATACACCCATTTACAACCGATGGGCTTCTTTCCCTTTAGCAGCTCTACTATATCTCAGGTTTGATGATTTTCTAGTGCAGAGATCTCCCTGTTCATAGCTTCTTTCCATTAAACCTTGTGTTTAGCTTGATCATAAGAACCAGGTTCTACATATGCTGGACTAATAAAGGGCTGCTGAATATAGGGAAAAGTAGGTGGGAACTGAAATTTATTAGTGGAAGAAATCATTGTATCTAGATTGGAATCGGTTATATTGTGAGCATAGTCATTCAACCAAACTGGTTTGGTTCAAGGTCTAGTGCTCTGGCGTAATATAGGAAATGGTGGTGATGAAGAAGGTGGTATAACAGGTTCTGCACCTGAGGCTGAGTTTTCTGATAAAAGAGGAGACAAACGAGAAGGAGATTGACCAATGTGAGAAGAAGAAGGTTGGTCAGTATTCAGGAAGGGCCATTGAGAGGTGATAGGCTCAAAATCAGATACTGGAACCACAGAGAGAGGAAAAGAGGGAGTTTCTGAAGGTAGAATTTTATAAGGAAAACAGGTCTCAAGAAATGTTACATTTCGGCATACACATATCCTTTTATCTTCAAGAACATAAACCTTATATCCCTTTTGACCCTCAGGATACCCGAGAAGAACCCCCTTAAAAGCTCTAGGAGCAAATTTATCTTTATGAGGTTGTATTCATTATATAGCACAAATATCCAAATACCCTGAGGTGAGAGATGTCTGGCTGAGCAGAATGTAAGATGGTATATGGTGACTTCCAATTCAGCAAAGGGCTAGGAACTCGATTGATGAGATACGTAGCAGTTAGAATTGCATGACCCCAAGAAATGTTTAGGTAAGGATGACTGGAACATAAGGGCCCGTGAAATTTGGAGAAGATGTTCTTGTTAACGCTCCACAACATCATTTTGTTGTGGAGTGTAAGCACAAGACTTTTGATGAGAAATGCCAAAAGATGAAAATAAGGCTGAACATTCAGTGTTAAGAAATTCAGTTCCATTATCAGAACAAACTGTTTGACTGTTGAAAAAAATTGATTTTGGACTATTAAGAAAAAATTTCGAAGTATTGTAGTGACTTCAGTTTTGCACCTACAGAGAAAGGTCCATGTTCCCCGACTGAAGTCATCTAGTATAGTGAGAAAATATCGAGTATTAACAATGGTAGGATGACTGTAAGGACCTCAAAGATCGACATGAATTAATTCGAAACATTTTGTAGTTCGAATAGAATTTAAAGAGAAGGAATGCCTCTTTGTTTTGCTAGAGGACAAATTTCACAATCTGAAACATCAAGAGGAATAGAAGGAAGCAGTTCATTGAAATGTCTCATAACAATACAGGAAGGGTGGCCTAATCGATAATGCCACTGATTTATTACAGTTGAATTCTTATCACGATCTAAAGTAGTTACAGCTGAAAAAGCATTGGCAGGACAATGAGATTCTTTGTTTACATTAGGAAAGTTTCTTAATAAAATCCTAGGTAAAACCACATCTAAAACATGTTTAATGGTTTGAGGTGCAAAAGAGCTCTTGTCTAGAATGTAGAGCCTTTTGTAGATTCTTCCAATCCCAATGATTTCTTTAGTGGTAAGGTCCTGTAAGAAAGAATAATCAGCTAAGAATCCACAATAAATGTTGGAAGTCTTAGCTAACTTTCTTACAAATAAAAAGCTAGGTACATATAAAGAGTCAAATAACCTAATTTTAGAACTAAGATTAATATTACCAGTTAAATCTACCAATTTAATACTCCCATCTGGTAATGCTATTGGAGTGGTGGATTTAACAGGTTTAATGTCAAAAACTAACCTAGAATCCATACATGTATGATTCATGGCTCCTGTATCCTCTATCCAGAAAACACATCCATATGATTCAACTTTATTAAGGTATGGAAAAGAGGAACTAGCTGCAAACTCTTCAAAATAAGCAAAATTGACCTGTTGTGGGCATAAATCTGTATCAGCAGCTGCTTTTCCTTTGATGGCATGGTTGAGTTCCTGTTGCAGAGAATTGAACTTCATCATTAGTGCATTCACATCTAGGTCTGTATTGGAGAACACATTTGGCTGCACATGATCCATTGGAGTCTCCACAGTTTCTGCAAAATGGGCATAAGCCTTTTTCGGAGCCTTGTATTTGTTGCCTGGCCACCAATCTGGGTACCCCTTTAACTTGAAACATCCATCCTTATCATGTCCAGTTACCTTACAATGAGTGCAGAACAAAGATGCCTTTTCCAGCTTTCTCTTGGCATATTCAAGGGTTCTTTCTGTCTTCTTAGCTAGTACAGTCTGTGTCTTGCCAACAATGCTGTGTTTGGAATTGATGGAGCTGAATATGCATTTGGTATGGAGACTGAATATGCAACATTGCCAGCCAAAGGATGGGATAGGTGGAGGATTTCTTTGTTTCTCTACCCGAAGCACCGTTGCATAAGCCTGCTTGACTTTTGGAAGTGGCTCCATCATCATGATATTATCCTTAACAATATGAAAGGACTCATTTAATCCAAGCACAAACTGCACCAACTTGTCCTCGTTATCCCTCTCAATTAATACTTTGGCTACTGCAGGTGGACATTCCGGCAAAAGCGTAAAATGATCATACTGATCCCACAGTCTCTCCAAGGTATTATGATACTTCACCAAAGATTGATCCCCTTGCTTCAAATTTATTAATTCTTCTCTCATACATAGTAGCATGGGACCATTTGCATTTCCATACCGCTCTGCCAAGTCGTCCCAAAGCTGTTGGGCAGTGGAAGCATACGAGAATCCTTCCATAATATCAGGAGATACAGCAGCACTCAACCAAGATTTCACAGTGCTATCTACTTGTTTCTAACGCATATACTCAATTGTACCAGCAGGAGGCATAGCACAAGTACCATCGACAAAACCAAACTTCGGCTTAGATTCTAAAGCAGTTCGAACAGATCAACTCCAGTTCAAATAATTCCAATCATTCAATTGAACAGATACTAGCATAAGCGACAGATTAATTCCATCATTCAAGTTATACACATCAGCATGATTGACAGAGATATTACGCGAGATGTAGAATCATCGTTCCGGCATATAGTCGCTCCTCCGTGAACCGAAACCAGTGAATCTATACTCGTATCAGTCGCCATGTGATTTCAGCCTGAGAAGACAACGATTGATGGATCAATCGAATCGGAATGTTAAGGAGAACAAGATTATCGGTTTTGATTTTCAATTTCTGCTCTGATGCCGTCAAAAGATGGTAAACATAGAGTACGCAGAAGTCATGGCTAGGGTTTACTCAAGAACAGGAAAAGGGAAATTATATCTCGATTAATCTGGAATGATAAAAGTTAATTACAATGACTAACTGTACAGTATTTATACTAGTTGACTAATCTAAACATCTATACATCATTTACAAGTACATCATTAACTAATATCTACACAAGTTCTGTACACAAGGAATAAAGAGGAAATCCATCTAACAAATCATCTAAAACTTCGATGCAAGTATCAGGATGCACAACTACTGTATTAGGAAATACAATAGCTGTATCAGAATGCACAATTGATGCTATGTCTGGTTTATCATAATTCTTCAAAGTGCAAACACGTCGTCTTTGTCATAATTTTTCAAAAGTGCAAACACGTCGTCTTTGATGGAAAGACTTCCAATTTTTTGGACCAATCTTAATTTTGTCACTAAAGTTCGGCATAATTACGGTTTAACCCATCACAAAAATTTAATTCAACCATCACAAAAAAAATTAATTCAAGTCTCGTGTTGGCCAACACTTGCTTGGCCAAAATGGTAGGTGCTTTGGTTCCTTTAAGTGATGTCTCAGATTCGAGTTTCGTGAATGGAATGAGTAATGTTAGAAGAGCAATATTATGAGAGCTTTCCCTTCGATTGGAGACTGACCTAGCTCGGTGCGGATTAGTCTGAGTACAATACACTTAGAACCCTGTAATCAGTATGCAAAAATAAAAATAATAATAATAATAATAATAATAATAATAATAATAATAATAATAATAATAATAATTCAACCATCACAAAAAAAATTTACTCACCACTTGTGATCTTAGGCAAAAAGAGAGAGGAGGGGGTAAATTAAATTGAGTACTTTAATAAAATATAACATGCAGCTCCTATCTTAAAATATAAATAAATAAATTTTACCTTTGACTTTTAGTACTAGAGAATCATTGTATTAAAGCAAAATGATAAATATGAATATTTCATGTATTATAAGAAAATCCAACTTAATTAAAGAGCTAGAAAATATTTTGAAAAAAAATTAAAAAATGGTAAAATCAGAGTTTCAAGTAATATCCCAATAGAAAAATGGCGATGTCTTCCGAAATTTGAAATTGAATGGTTCACGGATTTATTTAATAGATATGATCTCGATGTAAGTAAATGTCCAACCTTTGTTTAAAATTAAAAATAGATGTATTAAATTACACTAATTATAAGGGCATGAACTAAGCAGTCACACAATAAAATTGTCAAAAAGAGTTAAAAATATGGTTAAGGCAATAAACAAACATTATGAAAAATCAAATTTGGGTTTATACAAGGAAGATCAACAATAGAAACTGGCATTTTAATGGGAAAAAATTACTTATTATCTTTATTGATCTTTAAAAAGCATGTGATAATTAATACATATGTAACGTGGGAAATGTTGGAAAAGATAGCGGTGATAATAAGTTATAGTGAAATTATAAAAATTTGTACGCAACAACATGTGTTAGGACTATCAAGTGAATTCCTAATTACTACTACTATGAATTAAGGGCCGGCATTAAGTTTATATCTTCTTGCCTTTGTAATTGATAAAATTAATCAACATTCACAAATAGTTATTCCTGAATTTATGTTATTCATGGATGAAATAATTTACAGAGCTGATATGAGAGAGGGACAAATGCCAAATTAGAAATTTAGAATGAAGCCCTAGACTCTGAAAGTTTTACAATAAGTAGCGTTAAAACAAAATAGATGAAAAATCATTTTAGTAATCGTAATATTAATAATGTTGCAAATGTTAAGATTAATAAATATGTATTGAAAGCATCTAAAAGTTTATACTATTTAAGATCCATCACAAAAGAAAATGAAAATATTGCTAAATAAAAAGTAATGTATCGAATTCAAACAAACCGAAGCAGACGGTAGAACACTTCATTGATAATTTAAGATTGCACGATTCCGTATAATTTGAAAAATAAATTTTATCTTTTTCAACAAACGATACTTTTACTTTTACAGATCAAAGTGTTAGTGTACCAAATTTTAACATAATGAGATTAATAAGATAGAGGTATGTATATTATGTTAGACAGAATTATCAATGAATGAATTAGAAATAAAGTTGTAGTACCGGTAAATCACAAAATGAGAGAACTATACTTAAGAATCATGTGGATGATTCAGTTAGGAAGGTAAACACTGTAGAAATAAGAACTCAAATTAAGACGAAAATAGATCCCTCCTCCTCCCGAAAAAAAAAAACTTCGAAAGCAACCATTTTTTTTTGTCATTGTTGATAATTTCGGCCTTGTTTGCACATCAACTCATTTTACATTTTTACTCATTTTATCTCTTAAACACAAAACTCGATGGAAAAGAAAACATCATCCAAACAACTTTCTGATTTACATTTTAAATTCCAACTTGAAACACTTTTTGTTAGTGTAGTGACCATTTTAGAACTACAAATAGTTCAGTGACAAATTTGGTAGGATTCCGTTATTGAGTGATTGTTTTTGGAAAAGTTTTTTTTTGCAGTGACTATGATTGACAGTATTTAATTGTTTAGTGATGACTTGTACTTGATATTTCAAAATGTAGTTCAAAATATTTTTTTTCAAAACCAACATCCAAACAACATTTTTATTTTTCACTTAGTTTTTAATTTAAAACATTTTCTACTTTTGAGTGTCAAAATGAAATATAAGTTTACGTCAAACGAGCATTTCATTTTTAAAAGGTAGGATGTTCTGTTCGACCAAACTTCGGATGATATAATGGAAAAGAAAAAAAAAAAAAGAAAAAAAGAGGGGAAATATTGCGTAATCCACGCGAGAAGAAAAACGAATACCCGATTGGTAAAGGTCGGTAACTTAAAATCAAAACGTTGATGCCATCATTTCCGATGTTCCTTCCACCCTCCTAAACCTAAACCTAAACCCAGCAAATACACAGTATCCTCCCTCCTTCATATATAATATCCAGTAGTATAATCTAATTCCAGGTAAATAGAATTGAGGAAAGGAAGAAGACAACAAAGGAAGCAACGATGGCATTGCTGGGGGATGCCCTCAGGCAAGCTTTCATGCCCAAGCATGAGTACGAGTCTCTGAGGGAAGAAGACCGAGCTTGGCACAAACTACAGAGGCCATTACTTTCGTTCTCCTTTGGGTTCGTTTCGATTTCGATTTTGATCTGTACTGTAATTAGTTTGAAGATTGTGTTCCCTAGTGACCCTTTGAGCCGACCCTTTTGTGATGACCTCCGGATTCAGCCCCTCTCCATTAATTTAACTGCTGCTTCCGTCGGAGGTGGCAGCGGGACTGGTTCTGGGGATTCCGATCTTTTCCCTGGTGCTTTTTATTTGACGGATCAAGAAACTGTGGACTATTATTGGATGGTTGTGTTCGTCCCCTCCTCTCTCGTGTTCTTGGCTTCTGTGGTTTATCTCGTTGCCGGTAAGCCATCATAATCAAGTGCCTTTTGAATTTGAAGTTTCTCTGGTGTTATTGGATTCTGTTGAATCTTTTGAGGGGATGTTATCACGTGAGTTGAACTTGTCTTTCTGTATATCTTAAATTGGTGTATGACCCCAGCTGTTTGTATTGTGCTTTATTTAGGGCATATTTTGTCAGATTGATGCTATATTGTTTGCATAGATCTGTTGATTCACTTGTCCTTGGTTAGATAATGTTACACAATAAACAACTTAAACTGATACAGGGCAACTCATTTATCTCATCCTTCATTTGGGTTTGAACACAGATAGGTGCATATGTTTCACATATTTTTTTAGAGGGTGAACTACAGCTAACAGGAGTTTAAGAGTTCACTCTATGAGCTTTGGTGTGTGTAGAGAGCTTTGTGATATTTTCTGGATTCAACATAGGAGCTCATAACATGTCAGCAGATCAGTAATGGAAGATTGTGCAGTCTAGCGTTTGTTAATATTGGGATTCCAGTTGTCTGACCGAGAAGGAAATTAGTGGATAGCATAAATCTTTTGAAGCAGATTCTAAACAGAGATTCTTATAAGTCTTGCAGTTCATACATCCTTCTGAGAAAATATTATACTACAAAAAATCTTGAATTTCTTTGTTTGAACTTTTGAAAACGAAAATCTTGATTGGAAAATGGAATAAAATCATGGTGTTTTTGAAGAGGATGCTGGAGTTTTTCCATAGTCTGCTCCATGAAGTAGCTTTCTTGTCTTGATATCTACTTGTAATGTAATATTCGATGTAGATGAATAGAGAAAAGTGTAGTCAACGTCATTAAATTTGCTCTTTATGTCTTAAAGAAATATGTGTGGGGGGCATGGGTGCACTATCCCTATTGCTACTTTCTAGAGCGGTAAAGGAGTGCCTCTTAATTTTGCTTGGTTGCTGCTTTGAGATGGTATAGATAATGAACTGCTGGAGAAGATGCATGGTTTGTGATTTGAAAGAAAGCTTTACAGGTTATCCGGGAACTATTCTGTTGGTACCATACATGTGGAGGAAACAGAAGGCGCTCGCAGTAAATTTGTGCATGTGTGTGCTTAAAGTCTTGTAAACTTAGTGTCCTACGATTGATTCTCATAATCTCACTGCAAGTTTATAGCGCATATGTCTCTACTACATTATGTGCCGGCTCTAAGAAATGTAAAACCATTCAAAGCTGCAGTGTGTGGGTCAATTGATGAATTGAGGTGAAAAATTTATAATTAAGTCATTTTGATCATATAACTGGTTTTTAACCCTGAAGCTTTATTGACTTGCTTCCACTTATAGCTGCAATATATGAGACAACGTTCTGATGATCACTGTTATTGATTGTGTGTAATGATCTGGTTGAGTCAATAAATCACATATAATGAAAACATAGTTGGAAAGCCAAATAATGCTGCATCCACGTTTAGAAGCTGTGACTGGAATCATGCATTTGAAAGAGTGAACAACTGAACATTTGGGCAACTAAATACTTTACTTTTACTGGTCGTCTTTTTTGTAGACTGGAACAACAAGATTTACTCCTTGCAGTACTAATTTTCTTGCTTTTGTGGTTTGGATTTGGCTGTGGAGAGAATTGTGCCTTCTGAAAACCATTGTTATGATTATTTGCAGGAATCGTGGTAGCCTATTCTGCTCCAGCAAGACATGGATGCTTGAAGGTTGTTGAGAATGATTACTGTGCTTCTAGAAGGGGTAAGGTAGTTTCAGCTGTGGTACTGACCATAAATATGTTTATATGTCCTTTGTGCTGACAAAGACTGATTAATGTCTGTTGATGGAAAGGTTTTAGGGTATGGATCATTGCATTTGTTACTGTTTGTACCTTGTTATTGTTTTGAGTATGGATCATTAGCTTTTGCTCTCGTGTGGATGTCCTGGCTTGTGAGTACTCTAAAATTTTTTATTTCCAATTTCAGGTGGAGTGCGCTGTCTATCTATTCTAAATTTTGTATTTGCAATCATTTTTGGTCTCCTTGCTCTATTCCTTGGCTCTACCCTTCTCACCTTGGGTAGCAGGTGCTCGTTGCCTTTGTTTTGGTGTTATGAGGTTGCATCATGGGGGTTAGTCATTCTTTATGGGGGAACGGCGTCCTTGTTAAGAAGAAAAGCTGCTGTAGTTCTTGACGAGACTGATTTTGCTGGCCGTAATATTGGGGTAGAGATGCTTGAGGCCTATCCTCTTGAAGTGACACCAGATTTAGAGAGGCGTGTGAATGAAGGGTTTAAAGCATGGATGGGTCCATCTTTATTATCATCTGATGATGAAGATGAACCTGATGATTATCTGGAGGCACCAAATCTGTCCAGGACCAATTCTGCCAGGCAGAGAGTGTGAATGTGATGTCTCTCTCTAGGAGTTATATTTTGGCCTCTCGTGCTGCATTTGCCGGGGAAGCATTTGGCAACTAGTAACTACAGTGAGGATTCCATGAAGTTGCTTCGACATTCAATGGTTGTGCCGAGTCTACAGAGATATGACATTAATGTCTACACTAATGGGCATGCGGGTTAGTTTAGTCTGGTCCTTTATTGCACAGGCGCGAGAACTGTACAAAGTTTCATTGTAGTGTAAGCCATTTTTTGCTATCTCGGACTCGGAAGGAGGGTGAAGCAGAAGTTCACCTCATTGACAGCTAATCTCTGAGCTCACATTTTCTGCTATCTCGGACTTGGAGGATATTACGTTGTAACCTCAAATTTAGTCTAAAATCTAAATAATCCCAGTCCAGCAGGTAATCAGTGACAAGCTTTGCTGTATCTAATATATCTAGTCGGACAGATTTACTTCCTTTGTTGCATATGCCGATATCCTTGGATTTCTTCAATTTTTTCCTTTGCTACATAGTGAAACAACGTATATATTCATTCGGTTAGTTTCAGCGGGCTAGTTTTGCATGCCCACCGGTTTGGTTTGGATTCTATTCTAATATATACACCTGGGTATGTCTTGAAAGCAATTGTGGGAATTCTTTTGAGTGGACTTATTACTAGTATTTTTTTTTTGTTTTTTTGGTTGTAATGTATAGTCATCGATCTAAGGCTTTCAAAACTTGCGTGTCTTGTGAATGCTAGGGTTCGTGATTATTTATTTATGGATTTAACTTTCTAGTTGCTGTTAAGAGAGTATTGGGCATCTTTTTCAAAAGGAAAAACAAGGATACAAGCTTGACGAACTTGCACAACTTTCCCGACATTACACCAGTTATGTCTCACGCAAATAATCGACAATCTCTAGTGCTGGTCTTGCCCGGATATACACTTAATGGAATGTCACATCACTTATCATTATTATTCATCGATGTCAAGTGCTTTTTCGATGTGATTTTGATATCAGCTGATATCATCCGCAAGAACCAAAGAACGAACTAATGAATTCAAGCAATTTCAAGTTTCTTCCAAATCTGCACAAAAAAAGCCACATTAGAACAACTCCAACCGAGACACTAAGATACTAAATTTGGTGTTTTAGTATAGAGTTTACACTCTAATGAACACACTAAATCAATGTACTATTTTAGTGCAATGAATAGTGTTGTATCAAATTTAGTGCAAACTGTTAATTGCATCATTTTTATGCACTATCTTTTTACTTTCCTCTAAATAGAAAATTTGCTATATGATTAAATTTATGAAATGAACAGTGTTATGAAATCAATACCATATTAAAAGTCTTTGTTAAAAATTGGAAAATCCTACATAATGTACTGTTGACCCGAGAAATAGTAAGAGTGTATAGAAGGAAAAATTGTAGTCCTAACTGCTTAATGAAAGTGGATCTGAAGGAGGCGCACGATTCAGTAAATTGGGAGTTTGAACAGGAAATGTTAGAACATTATAGATTTCCTAAAAAATTTGTGGGGTGGATTATGAAATGTATACCTAGCTGTACTCTGAATCTTAATGGTGTAAGTACTGGATATTTCAAAGGTAGGCCAGGATTAAGACCGGGGATCCCATATCACCTTTAATATTTGTATTGGTCATGGAATATATAACTCGGCTGTTTAAAAAAGAGGCAGAAAGAGATAGCTTTAGGTTTAATCCTTTTTGACAGAAACTCAAAATCACGAATATGAGTTTTGCAGATGATCTCATTATACTAAATGGTGCTTTTCATTTATTGATGTCAGAGTGTATATATGTTTTTTCAATATGTTGTTTGGGTCTTATTTGGAGTTAAAAAGAGAAAGAAAACCTGTCATGGAATGACCAAACTAAATCCAAATTTTTAAGAAAACAAGTTGAATGGGGAGAATTAGGGATTAAGAGAGTTGATTTCAGATCTTAGAAGGTGAGATTTAGACCCCCCAAACGGGGGATAAAGAAGAAGCAAGGGGAAGAACAAGGAGTTAAGGGAGAAAAACTGATTTCAGAAAATGTTGTTCATTTGATCGATAATTCTTTACAAAGCATAAGTATTATTGTTATAGTAATCCAAGTTAAGCTAAATAGATAATGATCCCCATATTTTTCTAAAATTGTAATTTGATTGTAAGTTACATAGTAACATGGGCTTTGTTGCATCAAATCCTAGTTAAACTCTTAAGCACATATCTCTCGTATTTTCCTTTTTCTTTTTTTGTAAGGAATTCAATCATAGCAATTTCTTCATGGAGCTATAAACAATCCACACAAGTAAATTTATATTTTCATAAAAGTTAAACAGTTAAAACTTTAAATCCCGTCTAATTTGAGATCCGATTAAGTAATTTACGATAGGCTTTTGCTGTCTATATGCATATAAACAGACGATTTTGTTTAAGATGATGTTCAACGATCAAAGATGAGTCCGTCTGTCTGAGTATGAGGAGCGATATGGAAGATTAGAGTGATAAAGATGATCGTACTCTCTCCACCTATGACAAGAGATATGTCTAGGGGTCGGTTGTTTTAAGTTTAACTCTATTCCTATTTTATTGCTTTTGATTTATTGCAGTTGGTTTACTTCCCTTATCACAGTTAGTCAGTGAAGTCTATAAATATATTATTCGATGTAAAACCAAATTAAAAGGCAATACAAAACAAGTTACAAATATTGAGTTATATTGTTTTTACGCTAGGGTTTACGTTTTTTTTATCTTTGGTATCAGTAGGGTGAGATCCACTTCAGTTTTTTTTACTTTTGCTGTTGCCTTACTTCTTCTCGTCATGACCACCATGTCCATGACTTTGAATGTCAGGAACTTTTTTACCCTTAAATTTACTCCCACAAACTATTCCTTATGGCGAGAAAAAGCCTGAAGTCTTGCAGAAAGCCAAAATCTCCTTAATCATCTCACCAAATAGTTCTTGGTTGATCCCCAAATCTCTGTCTCTGAAAAAGACAAAATCACTCCCGAGTCCGTCCAAAAATTCTCTTATTGGCAACAATTTCATCGCCTGTTGAGAGGATAGCTCATTGTTACATTATCCAAAGAATCCCTTGACAATATCATTAGTAATGATACGGCATATGCTGTTTGGGAGGCTTTAAAGGATGCATACGAACGTGGTTCTCAAGAACGTGAGTTTACATTGCGACAACAAGTAATATATCTCAGGAAAGATGACTCCAAATCAATTGTTGATCATCTTCATAATTTTAAGGGCATGTGTGATAGCCTTACTACCATTGGAAAGCTAATTCCAAAAGGTGTATTGTCTTTTAAATAGTCTTGGTCCTATATTTGAAACCTTTAATTCCATTATGTTAAAGCCTCCTAATAAACGAATTTGAGAGAAAGATGACATTAATACTTTTCTGTACTGATTAAAATAATTTCTTTTTTTTTTGGCCAGTACAACTAACAAGACAATTATTTAGGAAAGAAACATAATGACGGTGATATTTTTGTAGCTGATAATAATTAGTAAATCACAACAACACATTCATATATTTGTTCAATATAGGGGATTCCAGAAATGGCTTAGTTACGGGAATACAACAAATTCCATAAATAGCCGTGATCATACATGGCTATTTTTTGTGTCTTATTTTATAAGCAAACTTGTATATATTACATGGTGGTGATGATGATGACCAGTACGGTATAAATACTTGTTTTCGTTCCTCAGAATATTGAGGCTAATAACACATGTCTTTTAAGGTGTGAGGGGTGTTCAGCAACTGCAATTGTCACCACAATCGCAGTTTGATCCACACTTGCAGCCATCATTAGCTGATCCTTCTGTTCCAAAGCTCTCCTCAACGGATTTGTTGTTGGTGAACCTTCAACAAATTTATGTTTATGATGCCATCAAAACCAAATTGCTCTCTCATATAATAAAATTTCATAATAGCTCCTTAATTATAACGTGTAGTACATATCTATATGTATCACGTCACTTTATACATAAATAAATTCATCGAACCATGGTTTTAATTACCTTTTGGGTGGATTGTGAATCAGAGTCAAAATTGGGTCCATTTCCATGTCAGCATACATTTTCCTGTCATATGAAAGCAAGTACATATAATCAAAATAGAAACATGTACATACAAGTAATCAAAAAAGATACTCCCTCCCTCCCATAATTATTGTCCAGTTTTATTAAAATAAAATATTTTATTTTTGGTCAAACTTAACTATATTTTACCTTAAACAACCAAATATACCCCTACATAAATAATTATTTAACTACTAAGATTTTATGGATAATATTTTTTACTAAGGACAAATGTGTAACTTGATCCATAAAAAGTCAAATTGGACAATAATTTTGGGATAAAATTTTTTGGACAAAGTGAACAATAATTATGGGACGGAAGGAGTAATATTTTAACCATTGACCGGAAAAGAAAAGGATAAAAAAAACATCTAATTTGCTGCAAATGCAGGAAAAATGAAGGGGGATCATCTTCAGTTACTAAAATTTTTTGATTGAAATACGGAAGAAGATGAAGAATTGTACTAGATGAAGAAGAAAAAATTACCCGCAGGAAGCGCAAGTGCAGCTCGAGCCACAATTGCAGTTTCCTCCACAGCAAGACATTTTCAAAGTTTTTTTTGTTTTTAAATTTCAATCAACTATGAAATTCTATGATTAAAGTGGTGAGTTATAGCTCTGATTTAAAGAAAGACGCAGGGGTTCAATTTATAGTGTGATTTTGGGGAGGAAAAAGCGATGGGGGACAAGAACATCTTTCATTGTGTGAAACAAATCAGCCACTATTTTGCATTATGCCAATCAGATTGATTGGAATTTCTTTTTCTAAAAGTTTCGAAAGAAAAGCACAAACACTTAAAATTATATTCTTTGTGATTATTACTCATCATTTGTTTATTATATGTTGACATTCCCCAGAACATACTCCATGGTTGCCATGGTTTTGTATCAAATCTTGGCTGATTTTATTTGCATATTAATTCATAATGCTAGTATGACTTACGAGGATGAAAGTGAGGAGAAAGGTGCTAATTTCGATTTAACAACTTCTTTGGATTCTTTATGTTTGGATTTGACATCACGGTAAATGTTATTTTTATTGTGATTAGACATGAAAAACAAATCCGCGAGTTTTCCAAAGTAACTTTCTTGTACATTTTATATTGAGCAAGAACTAGGTGGACGTGGATTGTTTTTTATATTTTGTTTTTGTTTTTTTTTTTTTGTGTGAAATGATACATACTTTTTATTAAAACCGGATATCTATTTTACTATTACAAAGCATTAGATTATATTCTTTTGTCTAAAAAAACTCCTCCATTGTGAATTTTAAAATTTGTACTATTTTCACCATAAACTTCAAAACTAAACGTAAATTATTTTTTTGAAACACTACTAATAGTATTTTATGATATTCATCTCTACTTACACAAATAAAAAGATAGCACTAAACTTATGATCTTTATTCTTGAGTGACAAAATCACTTCATGCAAGTTACTCCAAATTTTTGAACTTTTTGTTAGACTATAAAATTATATAGTATATATATATTCATCACAATTACGCAGGGTTTTGATTCGAGTTATCACGTCAATTTCGTGTTATGTATTTCACATGATTAATAATATTTTTTTTAAAAAATGTGATTAAAACTCAAATCGTGTCAGTCTTGTCGTGTCATGTCGGGTTGTCTATGTAAATCGTGTCGTCCTCGTCAGTGTGATAACTCTACTTTATGTCTTTATCTAATCTACTTACCTTCCAGTCATAAAAATGGGTTGTTCCAAACTTGTCAACTCCCTTGTAATGCCTTGTTATGTCAAGTAGAAATTTTAGCTTTTTCTCTCGTGTGGATGTCCTGGCTGGTGAGTAATTTTTTTTATTCCAAAAAAAAGGTGGAGTGCACTGTCTATCCATTCTTCTAAATTTTGTATTTCCAATCATTTTTTGGTCTCCTAGCGCTATTCCTTGGGTAGCAGGTGCTCGTTGCCTTTGTTTTGGGGCTATGAAGATGAACCTGATGATTATCTTCTGGAGGCACCAAATCTACCAGGCTGAGAGTGTAATTAATAGAATGTATGTCTGTCTATGGGAGTTCTATTTTGGTCTCGCTTGTGCTGCATTTGCCGTGGAAGCATTTGGCAACACAGATATGGCAGATAATGTCTACACTAATGTGCATACTCGTTAGTTTGGTTTGGTCCCTTATTGCACAGGGCGAGAACTTTTACAAAGTTTAATGGTTGTGTAAACAATTTTCTGCTATCTCGGACCTTTTCCAATCTTTTCCTCTTTGTTGCATCCTCTCCCACCTTTTCTTCTGGAGAAATCGCCAATCCTTTGATCTATTCTAGTGTTAAATATTGTTTGTTTTTTTTTTTTTGGTAATTACACCCTCAACCAATGAAACTTTTTTTCCTTCTCAATTCTTTTTTTTCGTTGAAACATTTTACCTTCCTGCAAAACGTTCTCTCAACTTACAAACACATGATGGTAGAGACTGGTCGGGCCTGACCGAAGACATTGTTGGTAGAGATAGCAAAGCGTAATTTTACCTAGTTTGATGCTACACAAAAACACTCTATTTTGATCCTATTTAAATAATAGGCAAATTTCATTTCATATATGTCCCGTGACTAAACACTAGTTTGAGACAGCGATCAATGTTGTTAGTAATAAGGGTTAATTCAAAGAAACCCCCCTTGTGGTATTTGATGCTACACAAAAACACTCTCGTGCTTCGTAAATATCTGAAACTCCCCCTTAAGCTTTTTCCGGAATCTGTAAAATTAACAGCACAAGCAAAAACTAACAGCTCCGTCTGAATTCCCCATTGTACCACTCTACTTGTTCCCCATTTCCGCCTATTTTTCCCTCTCGCTGCTCTCCACCAGCAACCTTCTTTCCCTCACTCTTTTTTCATATTTTAGGGCGTAGATGGGCTGGCAACATAACTGTCGTTGGAGTTTTCTCCTCTTGTTCGATCTACTACTACTAGACGGCTGTGGTGTGGTAAGTTGAACACCCAAGCGGGAATTGGATTTGAAGACCTTTTGATTTGAAGACCAATGACAGGATTCTCTAAAAGTAGTAGTTTTTGGCTTTTGATGTCAGTGTTATGAGGGTGTTTCAGATTGAAAAAAGACATTGAAATGGTTTTCCTAAGAACAGCTCAGGTTTAGAAGCACGAAGCGCGCTCGCCGTTAAAATTAATCATTTCTTGTAATTTACAGATTCCGGAAAAGCCTAAGGGCGTCTTTTAGATATTTACTAAGCAAGCGTGTTTTTGTGTAGTTTCAAATACCACAAGGGGGGTTTCTTTGAATTAACCCTAGTAATATGTGAATCAACTGAAACTAGATGCTTGCTCATGGCTGAAAATAAATTTTATTATAATATAAAAAAAAATATGGAAACGGAAAACAATACTGGTTAGAAAAATTATTTTAACATGAAATTAGGAGGCAATAATATAAATATCTAATATTAAACCCGTTTAATATTAGCAGCCTTCTAGTTGCCGTCTAATATTGGATTCAATAGTACGTATGTGGTGCAGATCCTGTGTTGGTTCGTGATGATGGTTTTATGCGATTCTTAAATGATGGTTTTATGGTTGGTTTTGATTTAGTCAGTTTGATTTTGAGAATCTCTTTTGAAAATGGTAAAAACATATTTTTGATTCTAGTATACACACATATTAGTATGGGATAGTACATAGCTAATCTCCCTATTTTGAAGGAAATGGAAACTATAGCACCAAATCGTTGAGGTTGGATTACTATGAACAGAATCACAATTGGTTTATGACAATTACATTTAAAATATATTTTACTGAAGTATTGCTTGAAGGGATTGGATGATGGAAATCATACGCGTTGAAGTTGCTAGAATTGTGGAACATTTTATAAAGACTTGCTATTCTTCTATATTTACGGGGCCTTTTTTTTCTTGCATATATAGAGCACCACGTGCTAACTTTGTTTTATACTCCCTTCGTCTCATAATTATTGTTCAGTTTGAGTTTTCATTTCTAATTCAAATTGTATTAAAAGCGAAATCTCAAACTGGACAATAATTTTTGAGACAGAGGAAATACGAGTTTTCAGTTTAGGCGTGAGAAACGTTCAATAGGAAGGATTTTGCTTTTAGTAAGTAAACACTCGGTAAAGAATAAAAATTTTTGTGATACCTCGATCGAATGTAAGCATTAGTCCAAATGCCGAACCTAGAGAGACAAAAAAATAAATAAATAAATAATAAAACAGGGGAAAAATAAAGATAATGATGACTTTCATGCATGACATGATGTGATCTATCGTCAAATTACAAAAATAAGGGTTCAATAATGGTTTCTACTTACACAACTAAAGTTTAGGGGTGGGGTTTTGATTCTTGCATCTCATTACTTAAAATTTATCCTTAAAGAACAAATAATTTATCATTACTAAACTTTTAAATATTTAAAAATGACAATCTCTTTCTTTGAGCTGATTCTTTTTATAACAACTAGTGTAATACTCATATACTGCACGGTGATTTTTTAGATATTATATCATAGTAAAGTCAAAATGAAAAAAAAAATTATGCATAAAATGTCTGAAATTAATTCTATATGAAATGTGAATTATTAAAGTTGTAGCATATATGTAAAATTTGAAACACGATCAAAACCAAAATAAAAAATACGCTAGGAATTAGTTTATCCAAATATAATACAAATATTTGGGTATTATTTGAAGGAAAAAAAAAATCAGTTCATATATTTTGAAGTGCTTCTTTGTAGACAATGTTTGTTGTGTTGATGTCAAATTCTTCTTCTATGTTGCAAATGAGAACTTTGAGACGCTTTCTGGACTTTACCTCGGAAAATGCAACATAGAGTTTACCGTGTGCTCCCAAGTAAAATAGAAACTTTTTTGTTGGTATCCCAACCATAAACTTTTGCATGTGCTTCTCTTATTTTTCTCCCCTTTTTTTGATTTTCTTTTATTTAATGGCCTGGTTTTTCTCCCCTTTCAAATTGATAAAGAATTTTTACTAAAATATTAATTGGCCGATTTTTAATTAAGAGCGCTTCTCAATACTCAATAGGCCGGCAAATTATCCTTTCTTTTGTCTTCCATTTGTGTTAGTTAATAGCAGTTAAAGCTGCTCGCTTTACTCACCCTATAAATAATACTCCAAACTACTTCCCTACCCACTCACTACATTGCACTCCAAACAACAATTTTACACACAGTCACCTACTACTTAGTTTCACTTGCTCCTTAAACAGATTAGCGGTGGAATCGTGCATCCGTGGCACCGTTCCCGGATTCAGGGTCATGAAACGGAGCCCATTTGGTTATTCGGGGAACAGGGTGTTGATGAGGATTTTCACGGCGTCAAGCTCTCTCTTAACCCTCACATCCATTAATTCTCAATCCATCTTGCGAACGAAGGAATGGCTTAATTGTTCGACCCCAAGTTTATAAATTCCTTCATCGATCATGGATTTGCGAATTATTTTGTAAATAATAGAAGCAGAAAACTTTAAAAGCCTCTTTAATCAGAAGAACAAAAAATGTAAACTGAGCCTAGGATTATATATGTGTGGGTTTGTGTGTGATCTGATCTAAATGGGCTCTGTTCATGGAGAGTGAAGGGTGATAAGGTCGGCGGCGGTGAGGTTAGATCCAAAAGGGGTTGAAGAAGAAGAAAATGTCGTTTAAATGGAGTGGAAGAAAATAAAAAATAAAAAAAAATGGAACTTTTTTGCTAGGTCAAAGAGTAGGT